AGCGCCCCCACGCTCAAACAAACTATACAACATACGGCGGCCATTACTGAATTAACGACTGTCTCACTTTCATTACTTTGTGAGAGTTTTACATTATTTTTATCGCTTATTTATATGCAAGCTTACTGTTTAATCATCAAAGCAAGAGATTTATAATATTCATGTTTGAATTCATTTCGAAAAATCATATTTATTATAGCAAGGTGTGGTCAAAACCGCACCCATTTTGACCCCACGCACCCTTTTCAAAAGTAATTTATTTAAATAAATTGCGTTTTAATAAAAATCAATTTATTTATTCACTATACATTTTAAAACGTATTCGTCGTTTTATATTAATAATAGGAATTCAATTTAAAACAATGCATTTTTTTTAAACGAAAACTGATTTACTGTTATGCCAATATTTTTTTGTGTTTATTTTATAATAATGAAATAAAAAACAAACGAATCATTCATTCATAGAGTGACAATATACAAAAGCGTAACATTGCACCAGGGAAGTACGGCTTTATGGCCTTATCAAGGAATCACGACCCAGTGAATACTTTGTCTACAGAGAACGGGCAACATGTGTCATTGACATCATTTATATCAGAATATTATTTTTTATTTAAAAATTATTTTTATTTCAATATATTTTTTTTTATAAATATATATTAACATTGGCATTAAATCATAAATCTTTGCCTTTATACATAACAGCACCTTAAAAAGTTATATATTTGACAATTGAATAACGTTAGTGTCAAACATTTTATATTCGCGCCAAAAAGGTGAAACGTAGCGAAATCAAAGGAATGTGAATATTCTGAAAATGTAGCAAATCGTAATGCCTCTTAATGAAGCCACGCTTACGTGGAAATTCTCAAGCTAATGAATTAAAAAAAAAATACTACCTTTATACAGCTGTCAGTATGAAACGCTTTATTTTCAACTTGAAAATATTTCACTTTTTTACCATTCGAGCGTACTTTTAAACATTAATATTTTAATGAATGACTTTTTAACGTTCTCATTCTGTTTGTTCTATTTTTTAAATAAATTAAAAGAGTCCCGAATGTGTCGCTAAATGCGGAATGGCGGTATTATCGTATTATCTCAATGGGAGCTTGAATTCAAATGGAACCGTTTTTCAAAACTTTAGAACTAATTCAACCAAAACGAAGTTAATGCCTGTCGTAAATCTCACGTGTTTTAAGAAAACTTACTCAGAATTCACGTAAAATTACAGAACTTATAGAACATTTCATTTCTAGAGGAAATAGAGGAATAAAAATTTAAATTATATGAATAGATTTCATATTTTTTGCTATTGAAACAAATATTACTGATATTATTACCAAGTTATATTCTCAAATGAACTAGAATCAGATTTATGTAATCTAAATTTTACCTTCTAATATATATCATTAAGGTTCAAAGTAAACGTTAGTCTTGTTCTTAATTTCTAGGTTCCACGTTATCTGAATTGGTTTGCAAACAAACTAACGGTAAGTTGGAAACGTAAGTATTTAAAGGAATTATTGAATGTTTTTATATGTCATTGAGTATTTTACCACACATAACCTTATTGTTGTTACTTTAATTTAATAAAAAAAATGGTTGTTTGATATATCACCTTCATGCGTGTAAATTATATTCTGCCAGTGTCGTGAAAAAAAAATACAAAGAAACTATGTAGCTCTAGAATTTGACGTGTAATACTAATTTAATGTCAAACGTCAATGTCAACTGTCAATTTGATTGAAAATATCGTATGTACGAAATAATATTACTGGTACAAAATATTTTTCTTTTTATTATAGTAACAGTAAATATAAAAAGTTTTTATATGTATAAAGAATGAAAATATTCGACATTTTAATATTCTACAGACATGTTACATGTAGCAGAACATTTATTATATGGATGATGTATTTCCTTTATCTTCGCTCATGAAGATAGATGCCTACGTAAGGGGCTATGAGATAAAAGAACCGCTCCAAGGTTTTTTAAAACCAAGTAAATATCATGACGTCATTATATATATCTTTCATGTAAGCAGAATAATAATTTATATTTAATAATAAATAATTTTGTATGGCGAGGGAATCTATTAGCTTGTAGTATAGTAGCTTGTTCGTAAATTTAATTATAGCTTAGAATTTTATTACAAGTTAGATATATTTATGTATATCGGAACAAATACATATATAATTATAATATTTTGTATATATACATACATAAAAAATTGAGATTAAGTAACTTTGTACTATATTCAGTACATCAAACTATGATTTGCTTTTAAAAAATTTTCTCATTAAGACATTAAAAACCTAAGACGCGTCAATGATTTTAAAATAATCGTATATATGACTTTCCTATATATATAATATTATATTCCACACAATATTCTTGAAGTTCAGACGTTGTTGTCAACTGAACAAGTGAACAGGCGACAGGCTGCGCCGGGGGCAGCAATTAGCGAAACCAATTAAACGCTGAAGCTACGCTACACGAAACAAAGGATGAATTAAATCTGCTATTTATAACAGAGATTTGAATTACACTAACAGACTATTAATATTTAATATAAGTGTAAAATGAGAAGTTATTGCAACGTTTTTAATAATATATTGTTATTTATAACAAAAGAAATATAAAAGCTTTAGACTTTATTAACGGAGGTGGTGCATATTTAAAATGATGCGTAAATTTCGAGCTCTAGGAGATAAATAATAATTTTAATATCAATGAAATGCAAGTCTTTTTAGTTTATAAAGCGCGTGACAGAAGTGGTGTAGCACAGATTATACTATGATGTGTCTGGCACAGAACACTAAACAAGATATATATATATTTCTTTTAAATAGATAAAATATAGAATAAAAGAGTCCATTTTTCTATACCACTTCTATAGAATATATAGTTATTTAAAACAGTTTTTATTAAACATAAAAATATTATTAAACAATATGTGTATAAAATAATTTATTTTATCACACTGCAGTACAAATAAAGCAGCATTTGAAATGTATTTTAACGAGCTGACAGGCCATTTAGTGCAGTGATTATGCCATACGCCATTACGAAGATATACAGATATATCATAACGAATGACAGAGTAATAAAAAAAAACTATTCCCGACGGCCTGTTTTAACACTGATTGAATTATATCGAATGAAAAATGGCTTTAGAATTTTAGAATTGAATAAAATTTGTTTGTATTTTTTATTAAACAAAACATACAGACATTTATTACGTTTGTTTTAGTTTATTTTTTAAAATGGCAACGGAATTAACAATTCTGCTCTCTCTGAGTGAGAGCGCCAAATAGCTTTTCTTAGTCATTATCGTATTGGCAACATTGAACTAAAAAGTTTCATTAGTGGGAGAGCCAATGTTTTCTCATTCCTTTGTCGTCAGCTCGGAAAAAGATAAAAGACAAGAATACGCTCCAGTTTTCTTTCTTTTAGCTTCAAAAAAGGGTTGCCAGAAAATGAAGCGGCGCCTTTGGAATATTGTGACCGTGCTTCGCTGAACGCTCGCCGACTTATTTGAAAACAAAAAAAAAAAAAGAAATCCCAATGCTCTGATTACATGGCACTGAGATTTTTTTAATGTGTCAGGCAGTTCAAATATGTTTTACAATATGGAGTATCAATTATTTTAGGAGGAGAAATGTATAAAAGATTAAATAAATTAGTTCATTGCTGTCTCAATAATGATTTGATAAAATTTTGGTACTTTAAAATTAACTTAACCAAGGCCATGATTGAGATTGATTGTTATAATAAAATAGAAAAAGAAAGATAACATATACTTGGACAAGAAATATCTCAAGCCGAAAGTTTTAAAATATGTATTAGTAATGGCTAAGTTATTCATCTAAGTCATTCTTAGTCTTATTCTCGACTTTCCATATTGGTATACGTATATTCATACTGTTTGAGTCAGCTATAATATTAGACACGATAAACAAAGTCACGAAAAGTTACTATACTTATTGAAATAATTAAGGGATAGAAAAGTAAAAATTTTGCATAATTGAAAATGTAATGAGGGTTTTAAAGCAAGGTAATAAAAATTTGGGATCTTGTAAATACATTTTCTCAGTAACACAAAGTTTTCTATGGAAATGAATAAGAAACTTTTTTTATTTCTAATTTTTGCTTTTGGACTTTAGATTTTTCTATTCAACCAATACTTATTTGGCCATTTCTTTTTGAATTTTATTTGTTTTGGTCTTGATATAACGATTTCTTAGTTGCAACGATTTTATATATTTTTCTTTCATCCATTGTCGGCGACGCAACTGATGTTTAGATAATAATAGATTTAAGAGATAATAAATGTAACAAATAAGGAATTAGGCTAATATTTGTATTGTATAATTAATAAAAGGAAAGCGACTCTTGCAGGTGCGTAACACGTGTAAAAATCCCTAATGAGCGTCTCTTGCAAGAGCGCAGTATACTATTGTCAAACTTAATATAAACCTATTGACCAATAAACGAACGGCGGTAGGGTCACTTGGCGGGGGGCGGGGCTTCCGCGCTGGCTCACAGCGGTACTAGGTGCGCGCGCGCAAGGTATATAAAACACGGCCGCTGTGAGCCGAATAGTCAGTAGTCACCAGCCAGCCTTCGTGAAGACATCTCATACGCTTTGAAGAACAGTGAACAGTGAAGAACCCAAACAAGAGAAGAACCGCGCTTTCAAGATAGTGACTAGGGACCACGTGGTCATACAAACCAAGTGATTCTGCCGCCAGTACCTAACAAGTTGTGGTTTCATTCTAAAACGACGATACGACCCGCCACGAACACGGATCCCGAGGATCGGATCACCGGCCGCCTGCTATTGGAGGAATTATCATCCGATCCGATCCACCCCTCAAGCGGCGAACGATTCCGAACTCGATATTCGGACATCCCAACCGCAACAACTGGTCCTTCGAGCCGGATCCACGTGTTCAAGAAGAGGCATATCGTCGTAGAAGCTCTCAGATATCACTATGCCAGTGACAAGGAGCAACAAGGGCTCAGAGAGGAGGGAGTCGACACCCGTCGGCACCGCCGAAGCATCGGCGCCAGTAGTTCCTGCGACCTCGGAGCATCGAGTTCAAGAAACGGCCGCTACAAGAGCGGAGAGACCCGCTTCGAGATTACGAGTCGCCCCGGAACGTGACGAACCAACAGAGACGTCAACAGAGCCGACAACTGAAGCGACGACCACAAGCTACGAGACAACAGTCACCGAGACAACGAAAAGGCCGGATGACGACTCACGGGCCAAAACCAGGACGGCCAATCGAAGTCGGGCAGCCTCCGTGAAAAGCGACCTAGCTCGAAGACGTAAAGAACTCGAGATGCGAGCCGAGCTTGCGGAGCAGGAGCTCCGTGAAGCTCAAGCTAGGACCGCTGCGACCAGAGCCAGGCTGGAGTTACTACAGCTGGCCGAGGAGGATGAATCGGACGCTGAAGACCCGAGGAATAAAGAGGCGGACGTTCGTCAATGGCTGGAGGAGACCGCCGATACCGTGCCCCCGAAGGAGCACGATGCCCACGCGTTCCCGAAGGAACTTATGGAGACTCCCGAAAAAGAGTGCATCCAAACGCAGGCGTCGGCAGCGGTCAAGCCAGACCAACAACCCGCCGGAACTAAAGACCTGGCGGAAGCGATTATACGAGCAATACAATCCGTACCGAAAGGAGGGGCTTCGGTGCCATCTTATGTAACGGAGTTACCCTTCTTCGACGGGGCCATCGGCGAATGGCTCGCCTTCCGGACGGTGTACGAAGACACCGAGAAGCTATTCACGGCCCCACAGAACATGGCGCGATTGAGGCGCGCTATCAAGGGAGCGGCAAGAGAGGCGGTGAAGAGCCTCCTGTACTCTGAGTGTCGCCCAGAGGACATAATGGACGCCTTGAAGCGTCGTTTCGGACGACCGGACACCCTAGTGCTCGCTGAAATGGAGAAACTGAAACGATTAGCGAAGATCAGCGAGAGCGCGCACGACGTATGTTCGTTCGCTAGCCAAGTGAACAACGTCGTCGCCACAGTGAAGGGGTTGAGGAAGCCTCAGTACCTACAGTCTCCAGAGATCATGAGAATTATAGTAGAGAAATTACCTGCAGTACTGAAGTACCGATGGTTCGATTACGCCGCCAATTATGAAGAGTGCAACATAGCGACAATGGCGGCATTCCTGAATAGAGAAGCGGATCGGTGCGGGCCATACGCGCTCACAGAAACGGCCCTGAGAAGACAGGGCGCGTACCGACCACAGGCCGCGCATACGGCAACGGACGTCGCCGAAGAAAGAAAACCCGCGTGTCCACATTGCCGAGGCGAGCATGCATTGACGGGGTGTAAAAGATTCCTGCAAGCATCAGTGAAAGAACGATGGGAGATAGCCACCCGAAGCAGAGTGTGTTTCAAGTGCCTCGGGGGCAAGCACCGCAAGGAGAACTGCAAGAAGCCGGCGTGCAAAGAGTGTAAAAGGATGCACCATAACTTACTTCACGCACGCAAGGAGGAAGAAGCAACGGAGGAGGCAGAGATCTCCAACAACGTCAGATTACCGGTGAACACCTTATCGACCACCAGGGCGTACTTGAAGATCGTCCCGGTGAAGGTGTTCGGCCCCGAAGGGTCATTAGACATACTGGCGTTGTTGGACGAAGGATCGACTGTGACCTTGCTAGACGCCTCCGTTGCGGATAAGCTCGGCCTCGCGGGACCGAAGGTGCCCCTGCGATTAGAAACAGTGGGAGGCGAGACGCTAGGCAGCGAGAGATCAATGAAGTTCGACATGAGGATCAAAGGATTACATCATCCACGAACACAACGACTCGTGGGAGTTCGAACCATCGAAGGTCTGAACCTGACGCCTCAAATCTTAGACGAGGCCCGGCTGAGAGAGTGTTCCCATCTCAGCCGGATGGTAGAAAGGCTGACTTATAGAGGCGAGAGACCGCGGCTGCTCATCGGCCAAGACAATTGGTCGATAATCATCACTCGAGCCACAAAGAGGGGAAAGAAAGGTCAACCCGTCGCCTCGTTAACTCAGCTGGGATGGGTCTTGCACGGCTCGGACGAAAGAGTACCATCGACCGAAAAGAGGACCACATGTGCGCACCTGACGGCTCCGGAGGAGGACCTAGATCGGCTCATCAAGGAGCATTTCGCCATAGAGTCGCTTGGGGTACAACCGCGTCGACCCACGACCGACGCGGAGGGCCAAGCGCTCCGAATATTGGAAAGTACCACCAAGCGACTGAAGAGTGGACGCTTCGAAACTGGCCTCCTATGGCGAAACGAAGATGAGCCGACTCCGGATAACCTGAAGTCAACGGAGAACCGGTTGCGCCACATGGAAAGGAAGCTGGACAGGGACCCGAAGCTCAGAGCAGAATACGGGAGGCAGGTCCAGCACCTTCTGGACAGCGGGTACGCTGAAGAGGTCCCTGAAGACGGCAGCTCGGCGAGAAGATGGTATCTGCCGCATTTCGCCGTGACCCATCCCACGAAGAAGAAAATCAGACTGGTCTTCGACGCCGCCGCTAAGTTCGACGGAAAGAGCCTGAACGACATGTTGTTGCCAGGGCCAGACCTACTACAGTCACTATTCGGAGTATTGTTACGTTTCCGCCAACGCCCGGTGGCTGTAGTGGCAGATATTAAGGAAATGTTTCTCCAGATAAGAGTACGCGATAAGGACAGAGATTGCCTGCGTTTCCTGTGGCGAGGGGATGACAGACGAGGTCCTCCAAGGCATTACCGGATGACCTCGGTCACCTTCGGCGCAGCATGTTCCCCCAGTGCGGCAATCTTTGTCAAGGATCGGAACGCCACCGAACACGAGGGGGAGTTTCCGGCGGCGGCCCGAGCGATCAAGAACAATCATTACATGGATGACTACCTCCAGAGCTTCGGCACCGAAGAAGAAGCCATCAGAGTAGCCCAGGACGTGGACCACATCCACAGGAGGGCAGGGTTCGAGCTCCGGGGCTGGGCATCGAATAGGCCTGCGGTGTCGAGCGCTCTATCAGGGGAGGTAGTCGGGGAGGAGGTGGAGCTGGGGTCCAAGGAGGAAAAGACCCTGGGGCTGCGTTGGTTTACAACCGAGGACACAATGGGCTTCCGGACGGAGATGAGAAACATCGAAGAAGACGTCACGGGAGCCAGGAAGACGCCTACGAAGAGGCAAGTGACCAGCGCAGTCATGTCCACCTTCGACCCCATGGGCCTCGCTTCGCCAGTCCTGATACAGGGAAAACGGCTACTCCAGAACTTGTGGCGGAGCGGGGTCGGGTGGGATGATCTTGTGACACCTGAAAGCGAAGAGTCGTGGAGGGAATACCTCCTCCACGTACAGCTCCTAGAGAGCTTGAGGATCCCGCGGTGCTTCGCATCCGCATCGGGAGAGGGCGAGTTGCATACATTTACGGACGCCAGCGAAGCGGCGTATGCGTGCGCCGTGTATTGGAGAGAAAAGAAGGACGGCGTGTGGACAACCCACCTGCTCGCCGGGAAGGCGCGCGTTACGCCGCTCAAACCGGTGTCCATTCCGCGGTTAGAGCTTCAAGCCGCGCTGCTGGGGACAAGGCTGGCGCAGTCCGTCCTAGAAGAGTTAGACGTCGTACCGAAGAGGCGTACATACTGGACGGACTCCAGCACCGTGCTAGCATGGATCCGGTCGGACCCTCGAACGTTTAAGCCATTTGTGGCGCACAGGCTGGCCGAGATCGAAGATACGTCCCGACCGGACGAATGGCGCTGGGTGCCCACCAGCCAGAACCCAGCAGACGACGCTACACGTAGAACCCCAAAGGATTTCACCGCGAGACACCGGTGGTTTACGGGCCCCGATTTCCTCGCGAAGGAGGAAGACAAGTGGCCAGAGCACCGAAGGTTCAAGACGTCCATCACCGGGGAAGAGAAAGAAACGAAGCACCTCGTGGCCGTCGTTTCACCCAGCAGCCTTCCCACACCTGACCCTGTGAGATTCTCCAGGTGGGTAAGGCTCCTACGGGCGACCGCGAGGGTGCTTCAATTTGTGCATCTGTGCCGCAAGGAAAAGGCTCTGAGCGCACGATCCAGCGACCCGGTGTGGACGAGGAAACACTGAAAGAGAAAAAACCGAAAGAAGAAATATTGCATACCTTGCTCTTAGAGGCTGAGCATATGATAAACTCGCGGCCACTAATTGAAATAGATGACCACAACGAAGAGTCGTTAACCCCGAACCATTTCCTAATTGGGAGGTCTTGCGGGGCGCCGACGATGGGGACGTTTAAGGAAGACGAGGTCAAGGGTAGGAAATGGAAGGCAGCGCAACACCTGGCGGACCACTTCTGGGCGAGGTGGATAAAAGAATACCTCCCTACTCTTGTTCCTCGTCGAATTGGAGGCGGCGCCGACACCGCAGATCTCCAACAGGGGGACGTGGTCATCATCGTGGACTCGACACTACCCCGAAACTCGTGGCCGCGAGGAGAAGTAATGAGGGTCTACCCAGGCCCCGACGGGCGAACACGCGTGGTGGACGTACGCACCTCCACTGGCCTTCTGAAAAGGCCGAGTTCAAAAATTATAAGGCTGGTGAGCCAGCCTACCATAGAAAACAAGATCATCGAGCAGCGACACGGCGGTCCAGAGCAGCATCGCGTCGCCGGTCAAGAAGATGGTGCGAAGCACGAGGGGGAGGATGTCGGCGACGCAACTGATGTTTAGATAATAATAGATTTAAGAGATAATAAATGTAACAAATAAGGAATTAGGCTAATATTTGTATTGTATAATTAATAAAAGGAAAGCGACTCTTGCAGGTGCGCAACACGTGTAAAAATCCCTAATGAGCGTCTCTTGCAAGAGCGCAGTATACTATTGTCAAACTTAATATAAACCTATTGACCAATAAACGAACGGCGGTAGGGTCACTTGGCGGGGGGCGGGGCTTCCGCGCTGGCTCACAGCGGTACTAGGTGCGCGCGCGCAAGGTATATAAAACACGGCCGCTGTGAGCCGAATAGTCAGTAGTCACCAGCCAGCCTTCGTGAAGACATCTCATACGCTTTGAAGAACAGTGAACAGTGAAGAACCCAAACAAGAGAAGAACCGCGCTTTCAAGATAGTGACTAGGGACCACGTGGTCATACAAACCAAGTGATTCTGCCGCCAGTACCTAACAAGTTGTGGTTTCATTCTAAAACGACGATACGACCCGCCACGAACACGGATCCCGAGGATCGGATCACCGGCCGCCTGCTATTGGAGGAATTATCATCCGATCCGATCCACCCCTCAAGCGGCGAACGATTCCGAACTCGATATTCGGACATCCCAACCGCAACATCCATAATATGGCCGTAAAATAAGATATTTAAGATATTTCTAGAAACTACCAAGTCATGTAAAGAATTTTGTGGAAATTATTAAAGAGAAGCTTTATATACGATCAAAAACGAAATAAATTAAAGCTATATATTTAAACAATATATCTTATTTATGTTGGTTTATTGAAGAAATGTTTTCGTGTCTATTCACCCAAAATAAATTAAGAAAAAATATTGTATATTTTTCTTTCATTATACTCATGATTGCGCGTTACTTATTACCTGAATTTTTATGTTTATTCAAAAATAAAAACATCGAGACTTAAATTTCATTTATTGTTATTCCGATTCAGTAATTTTCAAAGTAAATTAACTTTGACTAAACGTGAAAATTCACGTGACCACGTAGTAATCAATATAATATGGCGTGATATGATTTTTTTGTGAAAAATATAACATTTCTGAGTATTCTATACAATATAGAGTCGGGTAATAGTTGAGACGGTTTCATCAGCTTAAAAGGGTCGGTGGCTGGTCCGAAATGACATCGCATTGAGTATGTATGAGAAGCAGAGGGAACCACTACTGTAAATAGCATCTTATTACAATAAACACAAAGTCTATTTTGGAATACTCAGTCAGTCACATCAGTGTTATACGTATTTACATTTGATAACAGTCTGTATACAATCGTAATTAATTCGGACACGTTCAATTATCGGGATGTAAAGTAAGATTGGGTTTAAATTAATATTTATTCAATATAATTTACTATGTTATAGGTAAAACATTAAATTTTCATTAGTAAGAAAAGAATATAATTCTACTAACTTTCATAGCTACTGCCTGCCAAAGTACAAGCAGATTTTGCTACAAATGTTGCCAGTATTAAAAATGCACTAAAACCAGGGTAATATTTGGATACATATTTAGTTAACACATTGATATTTCAGTTAATTATACTAATACCCTTCATTCGATTACATTTCTTACCCTACTTCAGCCTTTTATTATATTTTATACTTATGGCTGACATATTTGAACACGCAATGCGGTTTTTCCGTCACGTCGTTACTGTATTGAAAGAAAACGGTATTTGGAATATTTTATCAGTTGCTTATTATTATTTATATGTAAAATTCATAGACAATATATGGAAAAAAACATTCTTTTTAATATCGATTTCTTTATTCCGATACTCCAATGTAAAATTTTGTTTGAATCGTGAATACTATAATCATTAAAGATAATAAAATTAATAAAATGAAATTTTGCAAAGAAGGTAAATATATACCAAATTCATATTTCTATAAATAATGCAATGATGATAATAAAACATAGCCATATTTCTGTATTTTCCGTGTTACAAAAATCATTTTTACTTTATAAAATATACTAAGATTTCCATATAAAATCGTTTTGGAGTGTTTGAGTAAACATAATAATCTCAGCTCTTGATGCTCGGAGCGAAGAAAATACGAAGCATCCGTACTCTCAGGTTAAATTCATATTTTCCTCAGCTTTCCCGGCCTTATTGCTTTATTGAGGCACTTTGCGATATTCGAAACGCTATCTCCAAAGAAATTGAAATTAGGATAAACTTACATACATTCTGAGATTTTATTGTTTCCTTTTATATATTCCTATTAAAATTAAGCATAGACATGTATAAATGCGTAATATAATTAAATTTGTAGCCCTATTGTAACGTGAAAGCAATTTGAACCCCAAACAAGACTGTGTGCTGACTACAAATGAAGAGGTGTTTGTATTGATTTACTTTACACTTCCTGTCCCTAAGCTGACGTAGGTTATAGCAAAATGACCCTTGTGGTTATTGGGTGAAGGTTCATAAATCATGGCATCCAACGGAAGGGTCGGTGATAGTTCCCTCGGGAGGCTTGTTTGAAATCAAAGACGAGAATTATTCACCCTAAACTTAATCACCTTCACTTTGACGTCGCTGTTTCTTATTTTTATGTATATTATTCTTTCTAACTTATGAAATTTCGTCTTATATTTAATATCCGTTTACCATAAACGCGACAATTTGTGTAAATTGCTTTCCAACAATGGTTTGATTACCTCATAAACTTGAACTATGGGTACCCTAGGGTCCTATAAAGTCTTAGATAAGCCCAATCTTCCCCCAAACTTTAATTCCCGACCGTTATATGAGTTATGGTTGTGACAATATATATAGACTACAGACTAGCCCCTACTGTGGAAATTAACTTTGAGGGAGTTTCGTACATTGTGTTTAACAAGTAACTTTCTTGGATTTTATTCACTTACGCACGGAATACTTATAATATTTCCAATGTCAAAAAACACAAAGAAAACTCTTTTATTACGTCATTTATTTGCGACTTACAGTTTCATCAAAAACATTTAAAGATTAATCGGAACAAACGGACAGACAATCAAACTTGTAAAAACTGCCACTTGGTTATACATATAAAAGGAGTTATTTTAATACTACATAGGAACACACATTTCATTACTTTGTATGTGACTGAGATTTTACTTCTTTAACATTTTTGATTCAGTGAATAAAGATTGTATACAATTGAGTCGGTACACTTAAATAAGGGCGATGGGCGTTGGTTATTTTCGTCGCGAAGGGACATAACTGTAAAAATTTTACGTCAATCATAAAACGTACAAATTGCTACCATTTAAATATAACATGGCTTAGGTTTTATGAAAAACTTACTTAACGTTTAAGGAATCAGAAAATTTTATTGAAAAAAATATATATTTATTTCAGTCCGCTTCGTTTGATAATGAAAATAGTTTTCTTCGATTTATATAAAAACAAAGATATCTTTGTTTTTATATAAATCGAGGAACTCGGGCCGTTTTTTTCTTTGATGTTTACGTAGCATCAATATCAAGCAAATATATTTTCTGCTTCTATAAATACGAAATGTTATAAGAATTTAAATGTCAATTATACGAACATACATCCCCTACTAGCTTTATAGTCATCTTGTTTGCTGTTGGTCCATTAACACTTGAGGTCATTTGTCAGCCTACAAACACCAGTCTCTCTAATCCGAACTGTTTGTATGCCACTCGCCGCTACTGAACCAATTAACTCTCAATAATTACCTTACGCAAATAACTATATATATTTTACAGTTTAACGAATACACGAGACACTTTGAGAGGCGTTTCTGATCAAATTAATTAAAGAATAATGAAAAATAAGAAGCGTATCCGGGGGATAAAGCTTGTGTATTTAAATACGATCTTTTTTATATTTATATTATTCCGAGTGAAGGTTCCATTTCATTGTTAATGGCTTAATAAATCCAGTGGTCGTTCACCCTTTATAGATGTTTTAATGCACGCGATATACGACTAATGTTGTATTGTAGGTTGTTCATTCCGGTCCGCCTACGAATATCTGTTACTGAACACACAATATTTGAGTTAAATAAACAATACTGTTAAAATATATCAAGAGAAATCATTAAAAAAAACTTTTTAAGTCTGATTTAGTTTTCTTTTACAGAATGTATAAAGAAAGATTACATATTTATTTTGATGGTAAGACGTTTAAGATGATAAAAATGTAAGTGTGAGACATTTCACAGTCGATTTTCTCATATCCACCATAAGCACGTAATCTCCTTGGGGCCAATTCGCAACTTCCGACCTCATAAAAACGATGAAATCCCATGAAATGTACGTACATTCATCTGTATTTTTTTTTCATATCTCTCTGTTGCTGACATCCGAATCATTTTCGGTTTTCGTGTTACGACAGCTGTCTGACCGTTTAAATTTATATTTTTGACGAATAAAAAATAAAATACCTAAAGTTTTGTTAAAGGACATTTTGTTTGTTGCGTTTCGTCAAATTCTATGGAGTATTTCTCTCGTGTAAACGCTATTCAAATACCTGTTTTTAAAATAAAATGCTTTCAAAATAACATAATTCTCTAAGAGATTGAAATTGAGAAAAATATTAAGAATATTATCACCCGATGTTGGACTGACAATGAAAATTAAATATCTTTGTGAATTGTTTCAAATTCTTCTTAGATTGGATATTCACGCTCACAGATTCTTACCGAGCCGGAGATTTGAAATTCTTACCTGAAATAAATAAAATAGATTAGACATTTTGCATTGATAATATGATAATATAGAAAAATATTGTTTGTATATAAAGATTACAAACCTAAACACTATATATATATACACACACATATCCCTACTAATATCCCTTCTATTAATATTATAAATGCGAAAGTGACTGTCTGTTACGCTTTCAAGCCTAAACCACTGAACTGATTTTAATGAAATATGGTACAGACATAGAGTTGGCTTTAAGTAAGAACATAGGATAGTTTTTATTGCAAACTTTTGAAAAGTTCTCTTGCAAAC